TTACCATTCTTTGTAGATTTCTGGAACCGAAAACCCCTTGTTCAGCTTAAAATGCGATTAGGGCAGATATAGTGGGTTACAAGGCTTCTGTCAACCAGGGAGTGAGAATGTAGACCCCGACCCCTCTGCCCGCCCACCCATTGGTTGCTCCAGCTGCTGCGCCCTCACCGTCAAACTTTAGCTGTTTTGACAGAGAAGCCGAGCGGAGCGTTCACGTCAATAACTACAGCACCTATGTAGCTCATTAAATGTGGAAATTAAAGAGGAAAACATAGACCCCGTTCCGCGGGTTTTGAGTGTCTCCTCCGGCTTTTTCCTCTTATCGGCCCCATTTTCAAGCATAGCGGACAACCAAATTGTCGGGCTATCAGCCGTTAAAGCAACAAACCCAGCTAAATGGAAGATCTATTCTGTTGTCGTAGCTTGAAAACGCGCGACAATGGCGCTAGGGCTTGGCAAGGTAATTTTATGGCGACTAATTTCAACTTAGGGACGGGATATCTCGCGCAAAACTCACGAAATGCCACGACATAGCGGCTACTTCAAGCACACGTGGGTTGGTGAAGCCATGGAGCAAACAAGTTCAGAGAACTCGTCTGGTCCCGCCCCTTCCTCATTTCAAGGAAAGAGAGGTGGATTCGTTAATGCATGCATTTCGATAGTTTTCTTTGCTTCTTTTTTGGTCACCTCTACATCCACAGCTCCATTTTCGACTGCTGTGACCCCACAAATTTCATCTGAGGGTGTCGCTTTAAGTCAGCTTCCAATGGTCAATGGCATAGCCACCATTGAAATTGTAAAGGAAGGAAGAAAAAACAGCGGTTGAAGGAAGAAAAAACAAGGCAAAAACATCCGTCTAGGGCCGATGTCAGACTTTGCGCAAAGTCTGACATCGGCCTAGGTTGGATGTACACGAATAGCATACATATAATCGCAGTGACATGAATTTATAAGCCTATATAAGAATTATAAGCCGCAGAAATAATTGATATCATTGCGGTGGAAGGGAGAGGAAGCCAACATGGAATATGTAGGAGATGATGCTTCATATATTGCATGCATGACTAAGAAGAAAGGCGGACTGAAAACACCAAACAAAACTGGGGAACTGGGGCGCACCAAACCTAAGCATCACCCAGCTTCGACGCAGCCAACACCTTCTGGTTATTCGTTTTTCAATCTTAGAAGACTCTTGCGCGGAAAATTCTTACACTCTTCTCCTAACATGAATATGTCAGTTGTGATCACTGGAAATAGCACACAAAGTTTCACGCATGAAGATTCGGTTTCTGAAGAAGAAACAAACGTACAAAAACTACACGTTATGGACCATCGAAGGACCAGAGGCAGAGAGCCAGGCGAGGCAGGGAAAGATGACGGCCGTTGGCCGCGACGCAATGAGAGAATCGGGTTAAAGCGCGCGATTTCGGAGAGTGGAGACAAATCGATCGATGGAATAGGATGGAGTAGAAGTGTAAGATGTGAATGCAACGAAGCAGAAGGCCAGAAAGAGCTTCTAGTGAATGCACACTCCAAGAACCAAGTTTGAGCATCCCCGTCGCCAGCATTCGTGAAAGACGTCCGTGGGCAATTCGAACGCGTAGCAGCCTTTTCGAGTTTTCGAATTTCTAATCAAAACGAAAGCAATACTTCAGTTCTTTTCACTATTATCGTGGATAATGAGTCTCAAGCCAGTGATTTATGGCTGAAATAGAATCATGATTTTTCCGCGCAAGATTCCTTTAAAGATCATACCTCTCGCTTCATTTCAATCATACAGAATGCACGACTTCCGACCCTCCTCAATATTTCCTTGAATTTATGCTATTTTACCATACAGCTTATATTTTTATCTATGTTTCACAAGAATGCCGGATTACGAACACAAAACATTCGCCCCAGGTGGGACTCGAACGCACACTTCTCGCTTACCGGGCAAATGCGCTACATCCTACATACCGGGGCACTATTTCGCCTCTAACTTTCATGGTATATTTACCATAGGTTATCAGCAGCAATCACAAGCCGATGTCGGCAGTAAACCGCAAGGCTGACAGTTCTAACAGATATTAATTCGGACTTATCACTGTTACTCTTACTCGTTGTTATTGCTGCTACTTATTGTTATTACTGTTACTAATTTTGTTAAGGGCGGAAGTGGTGTAGTGACAAGTGGCGCGCTCACCACGCGAGCGGTCCGGGATCAAATCCTGGGTCGTGAGTCGCCCGGGCCAACCAAGCCTTCCATCCCTCCGGGGTCGGTTAATTGGTACCAGACTTGTCTGGGAGGATAAAAAAAAACACTGACTTGTACATCGGCTGGCCCCCGCAAGTCATTGTATAGGCCACATCGCATTCAAACGCCACTGCGAATGTACAAATGGAAGTAGAATGCGTGCCGCATCCCAAAAGGGATTGATCAACGGCAAAATGCTTTATCCTTTATCCTTTAATTTTGTTAACTGCTTTTTAACCCTGCAAATTCCGTTGCAAATGCTTCACAAGAACTTTTATCTTTTCCGGTTCGAACCCGTACCACTTCAACGCATGGGTAAGGACTACTAGACCGGGGCAGGCTAACATCACCATGTTAACGATCATCGCTTTGTAAACAAATGCTATAGATGCTAGATAAGATCGGTATTGGTACGGCAACACAAAAATTTAGCAAGATTAATTAAAAAGATTAAAAATTAAGCGAGCAAAAATTTGAAAAACTGGCTGGTCATTGATGACACTCAACGGAGCAAACATCGCTAAAGAACCAGCTGTGTTTATCTGATTTGGGCATTCGATATTACTGTGTGAACAACATGGCAGCAGAGCCGAGGAAATTATGAACTGCACTACGCTAGCTCGCCCAGGACGATTAAAGGCGTTTCGGTGAAAATCTAGTTCGGAAAACTCCTTGCTATCTTTTCCTCAGTCCCAGTGAACACTCTTTTAGCAACGTAACACTAAGGATAAGATAAAATATGAATGACTCATTCGAAATGCACTTTGAAAGGACAGGTTGATGTCCTTCATTCCACGCATCTTGTCCGCATCCTATCCAGTTTTCTGCACCAGGTCATCCACCATAGGTTCCTATCCACCTTTGGGCCAAGGCGAGCAGCTCCATTCCCCTGATTCAGGACAGTTTCCCTGGACCACTGTAAGCCAAATTGTGAAAGCATTTCAGAATTACTTCCACACTACACCGATACTTATCAGAGCTCTTCGAGGCTCGAGGCGACATGTGCAATATTCTATTCTTCAGAAGGTTCCTGGGGTCGAGAGTTTTTCGATAAAAGAAGTTGGACAGTTGTAAATACGACATTTGATTTTTGTTGATTTGCAGTGATACCCGCATCCTATTTCTTTGTCCCTTGCCACCGTTCAAAAGCAAAGTTTGGAATTTCTGAACGAAATGAAGCCCCTGCGCGAGAAATGTGGAGTGGAACGCAAGCGCAGCGCATGCCTTCACTTACCAGGAAGGTCTTTCAGGGCGTGACGAGCTTTTTGAAAACGGTCTTTTGCATGATATAGGGGCAGATGCGGGACCACAGAACCATGTTTAATTTTTCCTGAACGGCCCTCTGAATACCAGAAAAGGGGGTCCCTAGTTCGATTCCTCTTGGTGACAAATTTTTGCATTTCGAGTTGACGTTCCAAAATTCGCGCAAAATGGAGTTCTGATTGTTCTGGTTGGTTCTAACTCCATTTTGCGCGAATTTTGGCACGTCAACTCGAAATGCAAAAATTTGTTACCACGAGGAATCGAACTAGGGACCTCCTTTTCTGGTATTCAGAGGGCCGTTCAGGAAAAATTGAACATGGTTCTGTGGTTCCCGCATCTGCCCCTATATCATGCAAAAGACCGTTTTCAAAAAGCTTGTCACGCCCTGAAAGACCTTCCTGGTTAGCCACGATTGATAACACGAGCAAAAATCCAAGATCCTACTATTATATTTATTATATTTGTATATGCTTCCGCCCACCAACCATATACCCCGTCTCAAATCATGTTATCGTTCGCGCAACAAATATTGAAAAGGAGAACTCCGTTTTCGTTCCTAGTCGACGGTTTCATCCCGCTTTTCGTTACTGTTGTTACCCTTCACGTCTCCACTGTTATTTACAAGCGCAAAGCGCATCAGCTCGATCCTGAAGCCTATCCTATTGAAATCGAACTGTCATAACTCACTCCACATGGCTTATCACTACCCCATCTGGAATGAAGTCTCCCAATATAGATTCGAAAAGAAAAAGTAAAAGAGGGGTCTAAAACAATATGACCTAAAGATATACAAATGCACTGAATAAACAAGAGAGGGGAAAGCACTCATCCAATAGCCTCGATCTTGATAAGATCCGACAAGCATTTACTTCTATTCAAAATCATTATGGCGTATGAATGTGACATGGCGCTTTCAATGGTACAATCGAGTCAGCACTTCCCACCAATAATTGAGCAGGACTACTCTATTTTTGCAGATGTAATAGTTGGCAAAATACGTCGGCTAATCACGATGGAACCCACTATTCTACTGAAATACTCCATTATGGACAGTACCATAACATCATGAATTAAGGAAATCTCTGAAAAAAAGTTTATTGATAAGATCGATAACACAAAGATTGAATCACATCATTCAGAATCGATTTCTAACTAACCGTAACATACATGAAGTGAGGAAATTCACAAGGCACCAGGAACATAAGCAGCAATTATGCTTGTCACTTTGGTATCCAAATAATTTTTGGCAAAAATTGTAACCTATTTTGGAATATAGAAATCGTATAACTTAAAGCGTAACGTAACATAACAAAGTTCGCAATAAAAATGTCAGTTAATTGTTGTGAGCATTCCAGGTAATATAAGGATGAATGAATTTCATTGTAAGATTTCAGAGCAAAGAAAGTGAAGTATAGTAAGCAGAATGGAACAAAATAAAATCTATTCTAAAGTAGCAAATGGAATGAGTAAGTCAACAGCCATGCACGAAGTAGCCCATTACTTTGGATTTTGTGGGCGATCTAAAATGATAACGCCTAGTTCGTGAGTCTTTGGCACGAATACGTTGAATTGCGGCATAGTGATCGTCTCGCCCAGATCGCTGTTACAATAGTGACGAATCTAAACACCCAGAATACTGTAATTGGAATGGTTCATATCGCACTAAAACCACAACCCTACTCATCCACAAGGCTGCGTTCATAGTTCGCGATTAGGATAGTAGTAGAGTAGGAGATTGCGCTGACAAGATTGGATACGTATCGATTGAAATCGCTGGAGAGTAGTAGATTGGGCGACTTCAAGCGAATCGATACATATCTAATCTTGTCAGCGCACTATCCTACTCTACTACTATCCTAATCTACTACTATCCTAATCTCCCGTCAATACATATCTTTTCATTGTCGCGTACTATCCTAATCTCCGGAGTCGCGAACTATGAACGCGGCCTAAGACTTGAATTATCACAAGGCAGCTCGACCATGGAGGTATTGTAAATATGGCCAATCAAACCTTTATATAAACCCGCTAATGTACAGGTCACTGTTTTGTGCTTCCAGTAACCTCAGAAACTATATGAAAACACAAGGCTTCACTGGCACTGGCGCCACTCAGTGTAGTGGCCGAGCCCAAATATAGCTTCGTACAACTAGAGACTCCCAACAATTAGCTACCACAGCAAAAACTCGAATCTCACGCGCTTTTGCAACCTTTGATCTCAGATCTTATCCAGAGTACGAGATTTGAAGCCCTTTCCAATACATTCTAATATTAAAACGAAGCCATGCCTCCTACAGAACGAAGGCACGCCTCCAATTATTCCACACCGTTGTCCAAGATGTTCGTGAAAGATGTCCGGGTACCCCCAGGAGGCCCGTCGCGCGGCAAGAAGGCAGAGTCAGCGGACGAGTCGCAGCGCGTGCTGTGCGATGTAGGACGTACAATGGTACATTCTATTTAACTTGACGCGAAATCACTACAGTACGACTCGTCCGCTGACTCTGCCTTCTTGCCGCGCGACGGGCCTCCTGTCGGGTACCCAAATGCCCCAGGGCACCCGCTTGTTTTTGTCATTC